AGCGACGCACTGTCACCCAGAAAGCCGCAGGGCGCTTCCCCGGCGCGCGGTTCTCGTGACGTCACTCAGCCCCGCCCGCCCGCCGCCTCCCGGCCGGAAGACCAAGCGAGGCAGCGGGGCGCAGAGGTGACGTCACTGGCCGCGCCGGGGAAGCGCCCTGCGGCTTTCTGGGTGACAGTGCGTCGCTGCTTCTGTCCGCTGGCCTTGGGGTGCTTTCTTTCTACTTTATTGATACTCACGGTTTTCAGAGGCTTTCGTCCACGATCGGATGGCTCTGTTGCTTTTGGGCAGTGGTAAAGCACTATGCTGAGAAGCGTCTGTATTACTCAAGAGTGGAGCTGCTTTCCTCCTGGTGCCTGGAAAGCAGAGACAGGAAAGGGCCAAGGACGAGTGATCTTTCCAGAGCATCGTTACTTTTCAGAGTAACCTGATTTCTCCAACGTGATCCTACTTTTCAGTATTGCCACTAGAGTATTAATCCTAAGGGACTAATACACTGATTAGGTCAGAGTCTTAAGGATCCAGTCACTTTTCAATGACGATCCACCAGCCAAGGGTGAAGCCTTCAGTACATAAGCTGCTCCTCGCCCCGCGCCCCCCACCTCGTTTTTTTTTCGGTACAGGGTTTCTCTGTGTGGCTTTGGAGCCTGTCCTGGAACTCGCTCTGTACACCAGGCTGGTCTCAAACTTCTGGAGATCCACTTGCCTCTGCTTCCCGATTGCGGGGATTAAAGAGCGCCACTACTGCCCAGCCCTTTTTGATCATTTATAATTGGGCGTCTTTAGGACAGGATCTCACTACCTCAGCTAGACTGACTTGAACCTGAGTTCTGGCCTCAGTTTAATCCTAGTTAATCAAGTTCTATTTTAATCAAGTGTTAAGTGTTTTAGTTTTGCTTGTGTGGGTATATGTACATGTGTGTAGAAGCCAGAAGTGAACATGGGTGTCTTTGTTATTCTCTACCTTATTTTTTTGAGGTAGGGTCTCTCACTGAACCTGAAGCTCACTGAGTTGAGCCAGGCTGGCTAGAAGTGAGCTCTGGGGATCCGGCCCAATGCTGAAGTACAGAAGCACACTGCTACCTTTTTATGCAAATGATAGGGATTCAAGCTTAGGTCTTCCTGCTTGTGTGCTAAGCACTTAACTCTCTCTCCAGTCTGTGTTCTGTCTGAGATCAGATTTGTTGTTTGTTTCCTTCGAGATTCCATTTGTTTTTAATCCTAGGATCGATTTTTTAAAATAAGGGCATATTTTTGAGAGTTTTTTGGTTTGATGTTTTAAATATATTAAACTCTAATTTATCTACAGTATATCATGATGTCTAGCATGAAGTTAAGAATCTAAGGAATTTTCTTCAAATAACTAGCCAATTGTCCCAACACTACTTATTGAGTAATCCTTCAACGATAGATGTTAACAGGTGGAGACAGGGGTAGGTTATTTTGGGCAGAAGGAACATATGTTTCCAGATGGTGAGCAGTGCAGTTTGGCTGGGGTCCAGAGTCTGATGGGGGACAATGTAACTGGAGGCAGCTAGCTGCTCTATGGCTAGGGAGACCCTTGACTCGGTAGACAGGGGCCACCATAACTGAACAAACAGGAGTAGTTCTTTAGCCTCGTGCCTCAAGGAAGTGACTCAGGGCAAGCACAAGCCCTTGATTAAAAGCAGCATCTGTATTCTAAAATAGGCCCACATAGACTTTGAGTGACTGGGCAATGCTAGCTGGGGAGGAGGGAGACTGTGGTTCTTTGGTCAGGATTTAAAAACTATATGGGGTCAAGAGAAGACAATAAGGTGAGGGCTCTGGTGACCAGAGAATGAGAATAATGCTAGCAGATAAGCTCGATTGGGGGCGTGAGGTCTTTTAATGAAGACGATAACTCGGAACCAAACTTAGGCTTCACAAGACCTCAGATGCTGCAGACGTTAGCTGTCCCCCGATCCCTGTGCACAGGGAATCTATGGAAGGGGCTGCTTTATAACACATTGTCTTTGAAATGTCAGTTGATTCCTCCTTTCTTCCTTCTTGGTGGGCTTAAAGCCCTGCCTTTCGATAAACTAAGGGTTTATGAAACAGATCTGTTGACTGTTTGAGAAGCTGGCTGGCTGATGCCCCTGGGGAAATGTGCCAGCGGAGAGTCTAGCATTGGGGTGGGAGAGAGATGCATCTTAGAGACTGCCAGCAGACAGACAGACTGGACGTCATTCTCCTTGGGGGCCACGTAAAGCAAGGGACAGGTGAGCAGAATGGAGAGAGAGTCGAGCCGGTGATGACTGGAGGTCATATGAGAGTTAATAGTTGAGCATGAGCTTCTCCCACATCTTCAAATTGCATCACAAGTCACACTGCTCAGATCCTCCAATTCTAAATGCTGTTTCTTTAGCCCTATTTCACATTGTTATTGGGGGAGGGGATGGAAGGCACTGTGAAAGCAGGAAGTGTGGTTTGAGGAGCCACCCTGTGACATCAGGAAAGGAAGGGAATGGACAAAGGGTGCAGGCTCTCTTTCTAGAGAGATGTAAGTGGCATAAGTTTGAAGAAGGGCAGAGTGCAGACTCACTTGGAATCACTCATATGAGGCCTGGAGCAAGCACAGGCAATTGGTGCTTGGGAAAGGGACAGGGTAGAAGACAAGAAGTATCCATTGCCTTCTGATAGTAGGGAGAGAAGACACTGGAGCCTCTGGTGGAAGGGGGAGACGTTGAAGCAGCCTGCCCGAGGCCACAATGCTGAGTTGGCTAGGACTGATAGTTGGGAGGAACTAGTAGAAGCCTACAGAACATTCCTCGGCATCCAGGGCGGAGCCTGAGGAGGTTGAGGCAGGTTTGTATGCATACACTCTTAAGGAGTGGAGGCTGGACTATGGGAAGCAGATGGGAATGAACCTTACCAGGCTGAGGTGGCAGAGCCAGGAGACAATGGCCTTGTGTGGCTAGTTTTGAAAGGGCTGAGCTTTGGAGGGAGCTGGGTCAGGACACAGAGGGTTCATATAGAGAGGGCAAAGGTTTGGCCTCCCCTTCACCCCACTTTCTCTCGTAAACTTGAAATTTAAAGGGCTTTAGAGTGTGACTCCATGGGTAAAATGCCGACTGCATGCAGCACGAGGACCAGAGTTGGGATTCCTGGGTGCCATGTACAAACTCGGTGTGGTGATGTGTGCCTGTAACCCAAATACTTAGATCAGAGACGGCTGGTGCCTGGGGCTCTCTGACTAGCCAGTTTAACTGAAATGGTGAGGTCTTGTGCAAGGAGAGACTCAAAACTAAGATGGAAAGGTGCTTGACAAAGACATTCCAGGACCTGCTTCTGGCTTCCACATCTGCAGGCACGGGTGAGCACACCCACACCTACACCCACACATGCATACATAGAACACCATAACACACGCACACACACGCACGATGTAAGAGTAGTATTTTTCACACAAATTCACTCAAATATTAACGTGCCACCATATTTACCTCTGATCTCCACACTGCTTTCTCATCTCTCTCTGGCTTGGTCTCCATCTTGCTATGTCTGTCTCTTTCCATTTCTCTATGTCTCCATATCTTTGTGTCTTGCTCTGTGGCTAGATTTCCTTTTGAGCTGTTTGGGAATAAACCAATATGCCTGTTCACCCTGCAACATTTCTGTGTCTGTTCAGCGGAAGAAGGACACTCTTAGCTAACTGGAGCACCATAGTTAAACTCAAGAAATTAGCTCAGCCACGCCTGCCGTTAGCCCATCTGCAGATCCAAGGACACTGTGCCAAGTGTCCAGACTGCACCCTCTGCTGCATGGAAAACTGTGCAGCATTCAGGTCATGGTGTCTTCTCTCCCTAGTCTTTGGCCAGTTCTGGGTCTCCGCTGTCCACAGCAGCAGCATTTTGAAGTGTGCAAGCTGGTTATTTTGTAGATAGATCACACTACTCTGGATTTAAAGGTGCTTCTTGGCTACACTCTAGAACCGTCTGCTGTCCCTGGCCCTTCCAACTCCCCACAGTGCATTCAAGGTTGCCCATGTGCCAACCAGCCTGTGCCTAAAGCTAGAAGAGGGGGAGAAGAGGTGGTTGCAGGCCAGGGTCAGCAAAGCGGGGGTTGGCAGGAGGATGTGGGGTTGCACAAATGGGTTTGTGGCTGTATCTAAAGTGGAACCATGTTTAATTCCAGGGTCTTCCTGTTCTGGGTTGTTGCAAGCCGCAATTCCCTGGTCTTTTTTGCCTTTTCCCATTCCAGATGAAAGCAGACTAGGGGGAAGCAGGGAGGCCTTTCAGAGGAACCTGTGTACGAGCTGCCAAGAAACCAGGGCCGTCCATGCCCCAGGCCAGGCCTCCCATGTTGCGGACACATGGCAGCTTGACAAATGTGGGCCAAATGTACTGTCCAGGTCTCTATTGCTATCTTGGATTTGTGTGGCTGGAAGGAAGTTTATGGCTCATGCACAGTCTAAAGTTTTTGCCTCGCCCTGACTCTGTGCGACAGCTGTGCTGCTATTTATTCTGGGCACTCTTGTCCTCTGTGAGGTGGAAAATTAATTCTTTGCACGAGTGCTGGGTTTTAGGAAGCATAGTTTCTCAGCTTCTGGGCTTAGCAGTCAGCTGTGGCACCTCGTGTCATATGACTTGTGTGGCACGTGAGAGGCAGATACCGCATTAGGCAGGGATACCTCCATCTGCAGGCTGCACATACCTAGGGCCTTCCTACAACCTGACTTCCCACTGCCTGGCACCTCAAGTGCACCTCACTCTGTAGGTCATTCCTGATGCTCACGTGCCCCTCACAAAGCTACCCACATGCCCTGTAGTTTGGTGGATAGGCCTGACTTCGCCAAAGACAAAAACCATTGTTTCTGCTGTTGGTGTTATTCATGGAAGTTACTGAGCTTCCTCCATTAATCTGGCTACTATAAAGACATTTTTTTTGTTTTGTTTTCAGATAATATTGAGAACATACAAATGAAATCCAGATACACATTTGTCTTTCTTTGGGAAGTGTGTTAGTTGAAAAAAAAAGCTGAAACTTTCAAATGGACTAGGTGGTAATGAATAAGCAGGTCTAGGGAGGTCACGATTCCCCTCATTTATACCCCAAAGCAATGGGAAGGATGCACACACAGGGCCCTGGTGGGGCATCCTCTTCTCTCATGGGCTTCTTCAGCCAACAGCTGATGATGCAGAGCCTCATGTAGACTCCCAGCTGCCCCAGCCTTGGCTGAAGCCAGCTGTTGTGTCCACAAAGCCTCCAGTTAGGATTCTTATCCCAGCTGTTGTGGGGAACAGGTTTGCCCTTTCCAGACATACTCTAGGTCACTTGTGGGTTTTCTGCAGAGCCGGCCAACAGCCCATCTGCTCTGTCTTCTCACTCACCCAGAGAAACCCAGTGCTTTCCTTGTCCACTGGCACCCCCCATTTCCTGGGGATGCTGTCTCCCCAAACCTTCCAGAAGGCCTACTGACTTAGAATCAGGCCCCTGCCTGGTTATTCCGTCTGCCCTTCTGCTTGATTAGAGCAAGGGTCTCCCACAGGCTGGATGATGTCCAAGTCTGTACTGAGCACAAGGAAAGCCATGTGGCAAGGGAGAGGGTTTTTAGGGTCACTGATAAGGATGATGGCCTGAACAGTATCCACAGTCTTTAAAATTGTCTTTAACTGAAAAGCGGAGTATTTGAACCAGTCCCTAGGCTGGTGAGGTGACTTAATGGGTAATGGCTTACCATGCAAACCTGACAACCATATATTGTACACAAATGCACCCCCCAACACACACACTGTTTAAAAAAAATAGAGTATAGGTCAGAGAAATAGCTCAATGGGTAAAGGCGCCTCCTATTAAACTTGACCAGCTGAGGTCTGTTCCAGGGACCTATGTAGTGAAAGGAGAGGGCTCCGTCAGGTTGTCTGATCTCCTAATGTGCAGCATGACTTGAATACACACACACACACACACACAGACCCTGAGTAAAGACATTTAAAAATTGAAAATTTGCTGGGTGTTGGTGGCGGCACATGCCTTTGATCTCAGCACTTGGGAGGCAGAGGCAGGCAGGCAGGCGGATCTCTTTGATTTTGAAGCCAGCCTGGTCTATAAAGCGAGTTTCAGGACAGCCAGAGACACAAGCAAGTCCCTCTTTCAAAAAGAAGAGAATGGTGGGTGGAGAGATGGTTCAGAGATTAAGAGAACTGACTGCTTTTCCAGAAGACCAGGTTCAATTCCCAGCACCTACATGGCAGCTCACAACTGTCTATAACTCCAGTTCCAGGGGATCTGATGTCCTCTTCTGTCCACCATGGGTGCTGCGTGCATGTGGTACAGAGACATACATGCAGGCAAAACACTCATCCACATAAGAGTAACAATTTAAAAAAGAATTGTACACACATACATTTGCATACATGTAGATAGATGTTAAAATATGCAGACTTGTGTATATTCAAATACATGGAGATACAGAAACTTGTATATGCGTATCCACACACAGATAAATATGGAAACACACAGGTTATGGGAAATTGCATATATATATATATATATATATTTATATATATATATATATATATATATATACACATTTCCTAGAAGTTTTAATGCCCTGGTAGGAATGAACATCCTGGTTTCTATTTGAGGGGTGTGTGTGTGTGTGTGTGTGTGTGTGTGTGTGTGTGTGAATGGCTGGACTTCAATCAATGACAAACAGGCTAGTTTCATCCAACCACAGGCAGCCAAGTTACCGCGCCATGCCCAGGAAAGGAAATGCCTCCTATGTCATGCCAGAAGAAGGAAGCTGCTGCAGAAGGAGACAGTCACGTGTATGAACATTCGGGTGTGGCCCGTGACAGCGCCTGCTCCGCTGTGGTCAGAGCGCTCTGAGCCCCTCAGGTTACAAGCACTGCCTGTTCATGAGTCATCCCTTGCTTGAACTTTGTGCAACTGACTGGGTCTAAAGTTCTCCTTTTCACAAGGAGACATAGAATTTTTTTTGAATGTTCTTGCAGTTTTTCTCTGAGGTTGAAATTAGGTAGAAATAAAAAAACCAAAATTTCATTCATTCATTCATTCATTCATTCATTTTGAGGTAGGGTCTCATTCTGTAGCCTGGCCTTGAATTCCTGATTCCCCCATTTTGGTTTTCCAAATTCTGGAATTACAAGCATGTCCTGTCACACTTAGCTATTTTTAAATTTTTGTATTTCTGAGACAGTCTTATTCTGTAGCCCAGGCTGTATCAGACCTTTCTGTGTAGCTCAGGGTGGCTCAGAACTCACAGCTATCTTCTCCTCCTCCGCCTCTCAAATACTGGAGTAACAACCACGAACCCATGTGCGACTTGAGAAAGGTTTTCAAGACGCTGAGGACATTTGGTCAGTGCCTTTGTCCTCGTGTGTCCTTTTGCGTTTTCACTGGCTAGTGGTAGGCCTCGCAGCTGGCTCCTTACCGAGGAGGCCAGGCATCTCTCCAGGTGTTTTATTGTGTATGCCCTCATGGGTGAGGTGCTTGCTCATGTCCATTGCCTGTTTCTGTTAGGGTGGCGATTCTGGGCACAGCCTGACCACCTTTTATTGACCAAAACTTTCCTGAACTGCCATTTCTCCTTCTCATTCTTCAGTCCATCTTTTCATGAAATTATTTTTTAGTAAAATATTATTATTTAAAATTTTCATTATTTTAAACCTTTTTATAAAAAAGTTGCAAATAGCCGGGCGGTGGTGGCTCACGCCTTTAATCCCAGCACTCGGGAGGCAGAGGCAGGCGGATCTCTGTGAGTTTGAGGCCAGCCTGGTCTACAAGAGCTAGTTCCAGGTCAAGCTCCAAAGCTACAGAGAAATCCTGTCTCAAAAAACAAAACAAAACAAAACAACAACAAATGAATAGCTGACACTTTACATACGTGGATCAGCAGTCCTCACTCCTTCCTCTCCATACCCGTGACAACCATCATTCTACCGCTGCTGTGGGTCTGACTACTTTACAGTCTTTGTGTACATGGTACCACGCAATGTTTGTGCATCCGACTGAGCATGATATCCTCACGGTTTGTCCATGTTGGTTGCATAGTGCAGATGTGCCTGTCTCCTTGAGACGAGCATTTCACTGAAGGTGTGCAGAGTGCACTGTCCTCTCATTCTTCCATCTGTGAGGATTTAGAGTCCTGGGCTTGATGGTGTGTGGATGATGCTGCTATGAATATGGGGGACATGTCTCGTTGAGATCTTGACTTCTGGGCTAAGGATGTCACATGAGGGTAGAGAATTTGCTTAGTAAGTACAAGGTTCAGTCTCAACTATGACAAGATAAATAAACATAAGCCAGTAGTGAATAGCTGGATCACCCAGTGATTTTGTTTTTGTGTTTGGAGGCATCTCTATACTGTTTCTATAGAATTAGTTGCATTGTGCTCTTCAAGTTGTCCTTCCTTTCTCCCTTTCCAGAAATAGGATCTCAGCCCCCAAAACAACACAGGCTGTTGTCTCTGCTCTTGGGTGCTCACCAGGACTCGATAAGATACTACTGCTGGAGACACCGTCCATCTGAATCACAGGACGTAGAGACGTGAGGTTGGTGCTGACCACGAACCATACTACTTGCTAGTCAGCTTGTATACTGTGAGAAGGTGCTGTGCAGGCTGCTGGGTAGAAGGGTGTGGTGTCAATAATCTTCCCTAACTGTGAAACCTGTGAACAACAATCATGACCAACATGGCAAGATTTGCCCATGGATACAAAGGGGCATGAATGCTATAGGGTAACCAACTACATTCTGATCAGATTTAAGGCCTGGGCCACAGGAGGAAACAGGGGCCTGCTACTGGAAATCTAGCAAAACAAAACAAAGCAAGCAAACAAAACCCTTGGTTAGGATCGTAGACCGGGGGTGGGGGGTCGGGGGGTGGGGGGGACTGCTACTATTATTCTGCTAAATGCTGGGAGTTATTAAACTGCCCTCTGAATTCTTATCTCTATACCCATAGATTAGTACAATTCTCAGACCTTAGCAGGTCAGAATCAAGCAGCAGAGGGTGGTTAAAGCAGAAGCTCATGGCTGCTCAAAGGGCAGAGTCAGTGGAGGCTCCAACTCCCATCCTCCCCGCCCTCTCCACCCTCTAGGCTCAAAGCTTAAGGCTCCTCTGGACGATCCGATCGTAAAAGTCAGAGCTTGGGAAGGACCTCACAAAACCGTGTCTTCTGGACATGGAAAGGTCACCACGCTCGTGAAATTGCCGCAGCTGCAGATGCATGCAGTCAACATTCCAGCACGGAGGGGGAGGGGCTCAGCAGTTCTCACCCCTAATTCAGAAGCTATGGACAGCAACTGGCTTCTGGGAGAGGGAGGCTCGGTTTTCTTTAAGGGTATGGCCATGTACCACGCTCCTGTGCAGGACACCATCCATAGCCAGGACAATACAGGCATCAGCAACTGGACTTGATGAGTTACTTAAAAAAAAAAAAATGACAGGAAGTTGGGGACAGATTTGGTCAGGAGTTAGAGGGAGGAACTGGGTGAAATGATCAAAATACATTGTATGAAATCGTTAAAGAATTGATTTAAAAAGATCCAAAAAAACAAAAACTGCTGGGCAGTGGTGGCGCAAACCCTTAATCCCAGCACTCAAAAGGCAGGGGCAGGCAGATCTCTGAGTTCAAGGACAACGTGGTCTACAGAGCAAGTTCCAGGATTTCACAGAGAAACCCTGTCTTGAGGGGGAAAAAAAAAAAGAATTAGGATCTCACTTTGTAGATCTGGTATCTTGGGATCCACCTGCCTTACCTTCCCATTTACTGGGATTTCAGGCATATACTACCATGGTCAAGTCAAGGTATTTTTAACAATAGCTTGTTCTGTTTAATTACCAATACATTCCAAACAGCGTACAGGAGCCACAGAATCCCTGGCCCTCAAATCAGTGACCTAGGCGTGTGGGACATCATGATTTAGTCCGATGGTCCTTGTCATTGAGACGGTGCTGCAGTTCCCTGTAGATTCTTGTGCCACTGGGAGACATGACCTGCCCCGTGGAGACCACCCACCTTAACAGGAAATAGGGCACACATCGTAGGTCCTGACTGGACTGAAGCAGTTTCAGCTAGGTGTGGGTGGCTGGAGGGAAGTGTGTGGGAAGCCAAGTGTCACTGCGGCCCGCTGCTGAGCCCAGGCTCTCTGCTGTGCCACCACTTGCTGTCAAGACAGTCTAGGGCCACACCTGCCTTTTAGCGAATGTCTGTTAGGTGTCTCAGGTATTCCTCCTTCTCAGCTGTCAGGCTCAGGTGTGAGGGTCATCTGCTCGGTTCCACAAGCAGCATGTATTCATGTCGCTTCGTAATGCCCATCTTGCCGCCCTCCCGTGCTCTCTTGCTGAGTTCAACTCACACCGCTTGGATACTTGGCAGTGCTGACCCTGTGCCCAGCACCACCAAGTGCATCTTGTAATCCCTTCCCACTGCCAGCTCTGCCCAGCTGCCCCCCAGGACTGCCCCCCAGCCAGTGCTGGCCTGGAGCTTGTCAGGGGCTCTTTTAGCTTTCACTGATTTGCTGCAGGGCCATTCCAAGCTCTCTAGTCCAGCTTTTTCTATGCCCATTGTCCCCTCTGCGTTTGTGTGCAGAGTGGAATGCTGAGTGTGTTGGCTCTGCCCTGGACTACATGTAGCTGAGACCGGTCCACTGACCTCCCTTCTAGTCCCTGGCCCCTCCGTCCCCACTGTCAGAGGTCCAGCTTCACCATCTGTTCTGGAGTCACCAGCTGTGTCTGGATTTACCCAGCATCAGAAAAAAACCCGCCGCTCTAAGCCATCCACCAAAGCCTCCAATACACCTTATTTCCAAAGTGCTGCCTGCGGCTCTTTCTGTCTTCAGTGTACAAAAAGGGTAACTGATTTTGGGAACGGGTATCCATTTTGATAAATGCTCCTGCTTATTGGGTCAGACAAACCCTGGAACACCTCCCCCTCTTAGTTCTCCAATTGAATTAATTATTTTTAAACGATATCTTATTAAAAACCTGCTAAGATAATAAACAAAATTTAAAAATGAAAATCTTTCATGCAAAGTCCTATCACCCAGGTGCACCTGTACACTTTTTTTTTCTGGCCTGCTATTTTTCTGTTTTCTACCAATATATACGTCTGTTTCTGTGCTGTAATTATATGGTATAGCATTAGATATAAGAAACTGAAAGCAACAGTTCCTCCTCCCTGCTTGCACTATTGCACAAATGTGTTGCCGTGTTTTCCTGCTGTGTTAGGGATTAGCGGTTCAAATGAGCTGACAGGTATGTGTTCTGTGGGTTGGTTAGTAAGCAAACTCATCTGAGTAGCTCCCTTTTTTATTAAGACTTATTTTTTATTTTTATTTATGTGTCTTTGTCTACAGGAGCACATGTCTTGTGTGTGTGTGGGGGGGGATGCCCAGGGAAGCAGAGGAGGGCACCGGACCCCCTGGAGGTGGAGTTACAGGCAGCTGTAAGCTCTGCAGTATGGGTGCTAAAACAGCTCAGTCTTTGGGGCTCCAGTCCCCAAATCACTTTTTCTCAGTAAATCTTCAGGGCCACCAACAGGTCGCAGGTGTGGTAGATGCGGGTCTCTTCCCCACGTGACACATCTTCCTCGGGCATTGCAGGTCTCTGCTTATTTTCTTCCGCCCTTCCCTTGTTGTTATGTTAAAACAGGGTCTTGCTCTGTGTCTGGGTCTAGTCTTGAATTTGTTTGTGTGTGTGTGTGTGTGTGTGTGTGTGTGTGTGTGTGTGTGTGTGTCTAGACTGACCTTAAATTCACAGCGATCCTCTGGCGTTGGCCTACAAAATTTTCGGGGCTGCAGACATGCGCTGCCGCGTTCAGAAGCGTCCAGCCTTTCGACATCTTGATACGACATCCGCATCTACAAAGGAGTTAGGTGGTGTCCACAGCTCTCCTGGGACATGTATCACTGAAGGTTGGACACACTCCTGTGTAGGCTCCAATATGATCAATTCCTCATAAAGCATGGACTTTGCAGCTGCCCCTGTGCATGCTGCGCTGTAGGGGAGACCTCCCTGCCTGGCTGGCTCCTCATACCGCCCCCAGGTCAAACTCCAGTTGCCTTCTGTATGACCCAGGGCCGCGTCACAGAAGTCCTGCTGCAAGAAAAGTTCCATCTATCCAACTCTCTCCACCTGTTTGTCCTGCTTAGCATCTCGGTGTGGGTGCAGGGGCGGAGCGGACACCATTATAGAATGTGCGGCTGAGCTAGAACCAGTGTTTGAAGATAAGCCAGTGGTTGAAAAGACCGCAGCAAAGGCCTTTGTGCTGGGTAGAGCACCTGTATGGTTTGGTGGTACCCCATGACAGTCCACCTGTGGACCCACCTGTGGACCCACCTGTGGACCCAGAGAGGGCTAGATGGCAGCAGAGAAACTGAGCAGTTTTAACTGGCAGTGTGGTAAAAGTCTACTTGATTTCCTCTTTTTTTAAAAAATATTTATTTATTTGCTTATTATGTATACAGTATTCTTTCTTCAGTCCAGAAGAGGGCACCAGGCCTCATTACAGATGGTTGTGAGCCACCATGTGGTTGCTGGGAATTGAACTCAGGACCTTTGGAAGAACAGGCAATGTTCTTAACCGCTGAGCCATCTCTCCAGCCCCTTAATTTCCTCTTTTATTTAAAATTTTTACAGACACCCAGGCATGGTGGCATTTGCCTTTAATCCCAGGACTGGGGAGGCAGAAGCAGGTGGATCTCTGTGAGCTCAAGGTCAGCCTGGCCTACAGAGCAAGTTCCAGGCCAGTCAAAGCAGTGAGCCAGTGAGCCCCCATTGTCTTAAAAACAAACAAAACCCTCACAAACATTTCCCAAGCTTTGTAAATAGTGCTGATAAGGGAAGTCTCTGCGATAATGAGATAAGGAGGGAGGGCCAGTGTGCACATTTGTAAACAGGAATCACAGATCTGAGGCCAGTCTGGGCTCAAACAAAGCAAGAGAGTGGAGGAGGTCGGAGAAGTGGCTTGACAGCAGCCCAGAAGAAGGCAGTATGGGATTTGCAGTAACCTTATGGGGGAAGACTTGCCTAGTATTGGCAAGGCTCTGGTTCTGTTGAAACAGGGTTTCTCTGTGAATGTGAAACAGTCCTGGCTATCCTAGAACTCACTCTGTAGACCAGGCTAGCCTCGAAGTCACAGAGATCCACCTGCCTCTGCCTCCCAAGAGCTGAGATTAAAGGTGTGCGCCACCGCTGCCTGGCAAGGCCCTAGTTCTAGTTTTAATCCGAGAGAGAGAGAGAGAGAGAGAGAGAGAGAGAGAGAGAGAGAGAACTGAATTTCTTAAAATCTATTATCCCCAAAGAGACAACATGCTGGCAGGATCAAGGAATGTTGAAGTCCCAGACAAGAGGGAAAAACAAACACATTGGGCTTTCACTAAAATATTAAACTTTTGTCAGGTGTGGTGTATAATCCTAGCATTGTAATCCCAGCATTTGGAAGATAGGAGGCAGGATTAGCTACATAGTAAATTGTGACTAGGCTGGACTTCTTGAGATCCTGTCTCAAAAGACAAAAGCAAAATTAAAAAAACAACAACAGTTTAGCTTTTATACATGGAAAGATACTATCAAGAATGGTGGCATGTAGAGGGCCGCAACCACACTCTCCACCATAGATGGCGCTGCACCGCCAGGTGAGCTAGAAAGCTCACATGTGTTGGTATTTTCCACTACTCCCAAGGTTTCACCTGGGACTGGGAGCAGTTGACCAATCCAGGAAAGACATGTCCAGAGCGGGGTCTGTTTCCTTTATAAGGGATGGGTTCCATCTTATCTGGGTCTCCGCCATGTGGCTTATGCTCTAGCTCCCAAGAGACATAAAGCTTTTCTGCAGAAGGATCCTATGTGTCCCGCGTGGTTCTTGCTGGCGAGACGGTAGCGCGGGACAGTGGCACATGCCTTTAATGCCAGCTCTTGGGAGGCAGAAGAAGATGGATCTCTGTGAGTTCGAGGCCAGCCTAGTCTACATATTGAGTTCCCAAACTGCCAGAGCTATATAATGACACCTTGTCTCAAGTAAACAAAACAAAACAAAAAACAAATGAGCTTTTCATGATGCAATTGAAAACATACACATGGAATTAAACTCTGTTTAAACTCCGAGAGGCCTGGGGGCCTGTGTGTTTGGGGGATCTGGAGCCCCCACACCTAACCCTTGCACCTCAGGCCTAGATCTCTTCCCTTGAGGAATGAGACATAGCTCCTCCCTAGCGGGCCAGCTGTGCAGATAAACTGGACTGTGTTACGTAGTGTGATTTTGGCATGTTTGGAAGTTATCCTAAATTTGGTTTTGGGTAAACTCTGTTCTTGGGCACACATACTCAGAAGGGGAAGCAAGAAAACCACAGAGAACCCATTCATCCATTCCAAGAATGTTTTGGCCTCCCACTGAGGGTGCCGCTCCTTTAGACCACCTGCTAAGAGTGGCATTCTGAAAAAGTGACCAACCTTTAGTAGGGAACAACAGACAGGTCCACTTAACCTGAGAGCTGGAGGGCTGGCCACTTCCAGAAGCCCAGTTTTACCTTCATGGAGATGCCCAGGACGGATTTCTGGAGCATTGCCCCTCCAGAAACCCCCTTCAGTGAGTGCCGTGCCTCAGAAAACAGAGAAACCAGTGCAACCAGGGAGTAGAACATCACCCAGACTTCTCTAAGGGAGAATCAGGCTGCAGGGGTGCCTGGGAAGAGCAGCAGGCATCTCTGGAGGGAAGAGTCGGATGAAGAGTTCCGGAGAATTGAAGGGTGGTAGGTAGCCTGGAAGAGAGATGCCACAAGACAGCTGCAAGCCTGGTTGACAAGGGGACAGCAGCTGTGAGGGCAGGGTGGCCTGTGTGTCCTCAGCACACCCAAGAGTGCCCTGCGAAGGCATTAGTGCTTCTTTCCCACTCACAGCCAGAACTTTGGGGGTGGGTGGGCTTTGCTATGGGCTCCTGTATGAGTCCCCTTTGACTCAGTGAAAACCAGGCCCTGGACTTGTGGGTCAAGGGCCTCGGGCACCTTCCTGGGCACCCCTCAGGAAGATCTCACAGCTGTGCCTCCCAAGCTAATGTCACCTCTCTTTCCTTCCTCGCTAGGGCAGGGCTGAACCCGGAAAGGGAACGAGGTCTGCGGCAGATGGACCGCCTAGGAACTGTCTGGGAACTCTGTGTGACATTCTATCCTCACCCAGAGTCCCAGGCAAAGATGGCACATGAAGTAGGTCGACCTGTGCTCTCCCGCCCCCTGGTGGCCACCCATCTTAGTGGCAGAAGACCCGACCCATTTTCCTGGTCAGACCTTGGCGTTTATTCATTCCCACTGCAATACTTGCTGAGCCTCAGCCGAACCTCCGCGTTCTAGAGCAGTGCTCTCCATAAGGCCGACACACACACCCTGCCACTTGAAGGATAATGAATGCAGACAGAGACTTACGATTGGTGTAATGCACATTTTGTGTCAGAGACTTAGTATTTTAAAAAAGTAAAATGGGGAGAGGGTGCTGGGTGGTGGTGGTGCACGCCTTTAATCCCAGCTTGGAGGTAGGCAGATCTCTAAATTCGAGGTCAGCCTGGTCTACAGAGCACATTCCAGAACAGCCAGGGCTACACGGAGAAACCCTATCTCTAAAAACGAACAAAAAACAACAACAAAAAAATGGGGGGTGGGGGTAGAAGGTGCCAGTAGGAATGGCTCAACAGTTGAGAGCAATGGTTACTTTTGCAGAAAATCCAGATTCAGTTCCCAAAACCCACATGGCAGCTCATGAGAATGTATAATTCCAGTTCTAGCACATTCAACACCCTCTTCTGGCCTCCTTGGGCACCTACACACATGGTGCACATACATACGTGCAGTCAAAACACTCATGCACAAAAAAAAATATATTTGTTTTTAAAAGTAAAATATAGTAATCATTTTGATATTGATTGTACACTAATGTTTTGGGTAAGTTATGGCAAATAAAATGTGATTAAAATCTAGCTCATCGGTTTCTCTTTGTTCCTAATGTGTCTGCCAGAAAGCTTTTCAGTTGCTTAAAGGTTGATTTCTGCTCTTCTAGATCACCGGTTCCTGGACAGTTGGATCGCAAAGATAGGAGACGCCTCCCACATCTCGCTGTTTGGTGCTTTGGGAAGTACGGCTCAGATTGCCATGGTGTTGCAGATCGGAAGCCCAGATCTCAGGATGAGAAAGACAGATGAGAAGTACAAGTCCTTCCCGGCCTACCTGCTGCTACTTCAAGGCCAGATGAGGCAGGCAACTTAGTGAGATTCTGTCTCAAAATAAAAAATGCAATCAGGGCTGGGGATACAGGTCAACAGTGGCGAGCTGATCTAATGTGTGCAAGGCCCTAGGTTCAACCCTGAGTCCTAAAAAGAGGAAAATCCTGTGTTTTCTCTTCATAAAGTCCCACCACCTCATATCTTCCAGGAAAGGATGGTCATTTGGACCCCAGAAGCATAGAAAGCCACTGTCAAAAGCCAGAAGCCAGTGATACTTGCCCCAAAGACCACGGAGTAGGTGCTGGTGCCCTTGAGGGCAAGGAGGGTTTTCCAAGACGTAGTTGCTTTCAACTTTTGTACGTATTTATTTCAGGTGGAGAGGTGTTTTGCCTGTTTGTGTGTTAGTGTACCACATGTATGCTTAATACCCACTAGAGAGTGTGACTGAAGAAACTCCATTTTGTGCTAGACATTCATATGGGCACCAAATAGCCATTTATATCTGACTCAAGTTCCTGGATGAGAAGTTCCTGGCAACCCCAACTCCTTGACCCCCCCCCCCACTCAGACAACTGTGACCATCGATTTGTTATGCTGTTTCTTGTAGTTGGAGGATTCTCTCCTACCCACCAGTTCCTGAATAACCACTCTGAGGCTTAATATTAATTACACACTGTTTGACCTATTCACTTAGGTTTATTACTAACTAGCTCTTACAACTAAATTTGGTGCAGGAGAATTGTCTGTATTCTGTCAGTCATGTTTTAAATAAACGCTGATTGGCCAGGTAGGAGGTGTAGGCGGGAAACCCAGACAGGAAGAGGAAATGATGCAAAGAGAACAGGAGAATTCTGGGGAGGAGGAAGTTGATTCCTCCCACTCCTGCCCAGATCACTGAAGCAGCAGGATGTGAGCTGCCCCACTGCAAAATGTACTGAGCCACATGGCTAACATAGATCAAAAAAATGGGTTAATCAAGATGTAAGAGTTAGCTAATAAGTAGCCTGACTTAATGGGCCAATCAGCTTTATAACTTACAGAGATCTGTGTGTGATTTTTCTCTGGGACTAAACAGCTGGGGAGTTGGGCAGGACAAAAACCCAAACAAGCCAGCCCTTCATGTTATATAAATTAACCCATTTTATTGGTCTATATTTTACCATGAGGCTTATGGCTTATTACCTCACATCTTGCTTCCCTGGTGGCTGCTGGTGTCTCCCTGGCTCTGCCCTTCTTCTCCCTACATCTCTGTTTGGATTTCCCACCTAGTTATATTCTGTCCTGCTATAGGCCAGCTTCTTTATTAGTCAATGTTAATAAAACATATTCACAGCATACAGAGAGACATCCCACATCAGTGTCTAACTGATTTGGCCTTTATAACCTGCTTATGCGGATATTCAAGGACTCTTTTGAGGTCACTTTGCCAGAGCAGGACAGCTCCTGTGGTTTTCGCCTTTAAAAACGCTTTTCGCACCCACTGCTGCGTGATGTGACTCTGACTGGAATTAGAGACTGCAGCCTTGCCAACAGTTTTAGCAAGTTCTGCTAATTATAATCAGGATGAAATCTGGTCTTTTCCCGATCATCTCGAACTCTATAACAAGGGCAGAAGACTTCAGATCCCTTGGATCTGGAGTTACGGATGTTTCTGAGCCACCGGGTGGGTACTGGGAACCAAACCTGGGCCTTCTGCAAGAGCAGTCAGTACTCTTGACCTCTGGGCATCTCTCCAGCCCCAAATACTGCTTCCTAGATTATGAATTGGGACTTCAAAGAAGGGGAGTTGTTTTGTTTCATTTTGTTCTTGTTTTATTTTTTGGGGGGGAGGTTGGGGGACTAGGATCTCACTGTGTACAGCAGACTGGCTTGGAACCCAAAGAGATCCACCTACTACTGCCTACCAAATGCTGGGATTAAAGTGGTGGACTACCACGTCTGGCTTACCAATATGTGAGAGTTGTCAACAATAAAAGGTTTCTGAGTGTATGCAACAACGGCTCCAACAAAACCAAAAACAAAATGACACCTGGTATTTCTGGCTGTGCCTTTTGCGTCACATGACTGTCCCGCGCTACCGTCTCGCCAGCAAGAACCACACGGAACACTAGGATCCTTCTGCAGAATAGCTTTATGTCTCTTGGGAGCAGAGCATAAGCCAACACGGCCGTGGGGACCCAGATAAGATGGAACCCATCCCTTATAAAGGAAACAGACCCTGCCCTGGACGTGTCATTCCCGGATTGGCTGACTGCTCCCAGTCCCAGGTGAAACCTCGGGAGTAGGCAGGGACGCAGCGGTAGAGAGTTACAAAGCACGTGCGCTGAGATTAAAGACGTGTGCCGCCACACCTTGGGGTCACAGAGGTCAATCTCTACCTTTGTTCCTAGAAGCAATGGAGAATGTGGTCCGGCCCTCCACACATGACCTCACTGTAGCCGTGGTTCTGAACACAAAAAAGGCATGTTATAAGCTATGCATGCCCTCAGATCACGCAGCGCCACTGGACCTCTGCCTGAGACACCTCCCTCAGACTCGAGACTATCATAAGCTATAAACCGCAGGTTTTTTACTGCACATCTAGGATTTCTCCCTCAAAGACCATAAGGTTTAACTACAGGATGCGTTCCTAGCATCACTCCACAGGAGACAGCAAATTGGTGTCTGGGTCATAACTGTGTTAAAATGTACGATTTTGAAAACTGTAGTTTGGGTTGCTGACTTGAGTTAGGATTAAAATAAAATTTCCAGCAATTTCCAAAATGGCCCTAAGTATACTTCTGTAGCACAAATAATAAAAACCCAGAGACAGATATTGGGATTCAACCTGAAGATCAGAAAAGCAAAGCAGCCAAGCCACTAGAGAGCTCTTACCTCAATGAAATCTTCAGACTGAAAGAGAGAGGGTTCCTGCCTCATCACATTCCTCTCTAGTGCTGGTATTAAAGGTGTATGCCACCACTGCCTGGCCTGTAGGGCTGATGAGTGTGGCTGTTTTGCGTTCTGATCACCAGGCAAGCTTTATTCATTAAGATACAAGTGAAACACCACTACATTTCCCCTTTTTTGTCTCAGATTTAAAAAAAAGAGGACCCTTTAACTAATGTAAGAAAAACTATATACAATAACTAAAATAACTATATCCAGTCAATAAATACATCAACAATGTCTAGTTCATTTGCTTTTGACAAATTCAGAGAAAATACCCCATATCTATCCTATCCTGATGAATTCAAAGTCTTGTACCTAATTTACTTTTAATCATAACTTGCTTTCTACATCAGGTAACAAGGAAAACTATAACTATCTAGTCTCCAACTCCCTCAGAGACCCAAGGAGGAAATAATATTAACTGAGTAAGCAGTAAGTACAAGAAAGCACTTCCAAAAATGTGAGAAATGACAGCTGGCTGCTTGGACAGCCATCCAAAGTTCCTCTGCAACATTGGGGCATCCATCCTTGGACTACAGGCCCAGAATATCCAACAGACTTCTCTGTGAAGCAGGATATTCTGAAGGGGGCTCTCTACCCTTGTCTTGACAGTGTTTGGCATTAACTTTCTTTTGTGTCCTGCTTGTCCAGTTAGGACAGCATACTGTCAGCAGTTGAGGCAGGGCCATTTTCTTGCCTGATGACTTAATTTTGCCACAAAGAATGTAAACTTGCTGGCTGGTAGTAGCACATGCCTTCAATCCCAGCACTGGGGAAGCAGAGGCAAGCGAATCTCTGTGAGTTCAAGGCTAGCCTGGTCTACAAGAGCTAGTTCCAGTACTGACTCCAAAACAACACAGAAACCCTGCCTCAAAAATACCAAAAAAAAAAAAACAACAAACCAACCAAACCAAAAAAAAAAAACCCCTTCATGTGGAGTTTCTTCAATGCCCACTATCTTCTCTGAAGTAGACTGGTGCTGCTAGGAGCAGACATGTCTTAAATGCCATGTTCTGTAGATCTCAGAAGTGTTTGAAGATGACCTGTTTATCTATAATATATCTTTGTTTGACCTTGAAAACATACCAAGTGTGACTGTAAGTCCAATTATAATATGTAATTAACTGCTAACCTGCATTTTTTTATTATCCTAAACAGCTGGTAATAATAATTTTCAAGTTCTAAAATTTTGCATTACATTGTTAAACAAGTTGTATAGGTACAATACCCTGAACAAGAGTAGAAATGTATGTACAGTATGTCCTAACAAAATTTATCTTAAGTTTATATCAATACACAAAATTTGTATACAACTGCAAAAGTCCAATCCAAAACATTTGAAACTAGTATTGCTTTTTAAAAGTAGATTCAAAAATTTACCCTTTTATCCCATCACATCTATATCCCCTTTTTATTTTTAAAACAAGAACTCTGGATCTAATCTTTGTTCAACTTTCCTCCTGGCTATAACCAATAACATCTGGTAACCAACCCCCCTAAACAATGACAAATATCCACAACTCATTGAAGAACCAAAAACCACCCACCCCACCTCTTGGGAATATGGACATCGTATTCTTAAATTTACTCCTGCTGTCTGGGTGTTGACAATATCTTTAGGGGATCCTGAAAAAGAAAATTTTGGGTTAATTGTCAAGTCCTGGGAGATGTAGCTGTATCATTTGTTGTCCAGTCTCTGAATAATGGGAAAGTACGGTTGTCCCAAGTCCTGGCTAGAGTAGTCTGTGAGGGCTGGATCATCTCAGCTAGCCACCTCAAAATTGTTCTGAGCAGACTGTAGTTCAAAGTTGATCCTTAGGTGGTGTTTTTCAGCTTAGTAGTGTTATCATAGTCCTGGAGGAATCATCGTTGAGGGGTCCCATCCTTCTTATGGAGACTTCATTGTTAGGCATGCTCATGGTTCACTGCAGAAAACTGATAGAGACTCAAACCCAAAATCATATACAGGAAGATAGGTGAAACCTAATTATAGAATTAGTTAGTACTCTGTATGACCATTAATATCATGACATAAAGTTTAATATATATACATATATATTAATCTTACAAACTTTATACCTTAATAAAAGCTGTTAAAAGGTCAATATAAAACCAAAGGACTATGAGATTAGTGTCAATATAATAGTCCTTAAATATTTGTTTTTCTTCTGTCACATATCAGGTGGCTCTTCTGACATGAGACATAGATTTTGTATTTCACTTCAATAAGCAAGCTTGGATTTAGAGAAGGAGAGAGCCATGCTCCAACTCCAAAGTCAGCTTTAATCTTTAGCTGGACTGGGACAATAAAAAGACCATTTGCACTATATGTCTGTAGAGAACAGTAGAAACAAACATTTGGGAAGATTTATGAGATTTTATCCCGTTGAAAATGTGATATACCAATAGGGCCAGTTTATTCTTTTTCTTGAGACATTATTTTCTGGATGATCTGAACCTTTTCTTCAGATATCTCATTTATCCAGTGGCCTTCAGATTCCTTAGCTTGATATATTTATTCTCCTGAAAAGATAAAACCAAAACCCTTCCCCAACCCTAACTTTGGGGAGATCTCTTTTGGCAAGTGATATCCAAACAAAGGAAAAGCATTTGTTAGTTTTATAGATTAGTTTAGATTAAACTGCCATGCTGTTTGATAAACTATCATTTCTTCTAATTAAGAGGTATCTGTTGTTCAAATTGAATCTTTATCAATTTTGGTGTTATCCATAGCTTTTCATCTCCCGTGGAAACAAAAGCAAAACCCCTTCCCCAAAGTAACACATGTTCTGGTT